AATATGAATGAGAAATACCTTTTGGTTATGAAGATATGATCATGAGTTGATTTTCGTAAAATTTTACAAAATGGCGCCTAGATGACGTCATCAGTGAAGGACAATGTTGAAAACGTTATTGTGCTTTGTACATATGCCTTTACATATGTGTGCCAAATTTCAAGGCATTTGATTGAGCCATTTTCAAGTTATCTTGCTAACAAAAAAGTGGTTAGAAATAAGAAAAATATTTAATAATAATAAATAAATAAAGGCAATTCTAACGAAATTATAAGGTGGTCTGTACGATATACAGCCCACCTGATAATGGTAGAAATAAATATAATGATGCCTGATTATTTAAAGAGAAGAAGAAATTGTGCATTCCAAAAAGCTTTAACATAGCCCCTTTTTGCCAGGAGTTATGATGTAATTTTTGGAGATTAAAAACTCAGATGGAAGTTTTCAGGGCCAGTACTGTACCATTGATTGATTTTTGATCGCTTTCCGTCCGGGGTAGCTTGGTAGCTGCATACATAATGCATGTGATGAATGTGATGAATACATCATCCTTGAATCAGCATCATGCTCTCAATCATGTCAAGCAAGCAAGGTGAAAACTACATTTATTATCATAAAATGCATTTTCTTTGAAACACATACATACCACTTCATGGCCAGTCTCTATGTACATTTCTGTGTTAATGCATACTCTTTGTTTATCAAGAGTCCTTTTCAGGACTTCCCAATCCTCCCTCTCTCTCACATGGTGCAACCGCAAGCCTACTGTAATATACTCTTTGTTGCAAGTATGAAATTTATTGAGATCATGCATCGGGAAATTATTGAAAAGTAATGTAATCACTATCGTGTAAGTGGGTTGACAAATTGGCAAGTTCTTATTGAGGGCGGTCTTTTTTTAAACTTTGCCTTTTTGCTGTTATAATATTAATAATAATAAATATAAAGCGCACTTATCTATAACTCAAGACGCTATACAAAACAAAATACACAAATCTCTCTCCAGAATTTTAACAACATAATATCATTTGTAACTCTGAGTAAATTAAAACTTTTCAATATGTTTCTGAAAGGTTTCTACTTTCTAAACATTGAATGTTTCAAATTAATTCAATTCAATACATCACAGGGTGCAAGTAATAATTCTTTTGCCAATATAGAAAATATTAAAATATGTACATGTATAACAAGATGTAATAGTATTCCCAATTATTGGCAATATATATAGGAATATTCCTTACATGTAGCATCCATTTATTATGTCAATTTACATTTGAAATGCATTAGAAAGGGAAATCAATTTGTCAGACATCAATTTGTTTGATGTTTACAATTGCACAAAATTAAATTGTATTTGAATGACAATTGACAAGCCCCATAAAACATTATCTATGATGATTGCAAGGTTATTTATAACTGCATCCCCGTTCTGAATACTTATTCTGTCTGTCACTTACTGCAGGGCCGGGTTCTGTTAGAAATGTTGTCATGGATTCCATTAATTTCCACTCTGAAGCTCTTGGACAGTGTTGCGAAGGTCATAGGGGAAGCATGATTGAACTGCTCCTACAGAGTATTCAAAAAAAGTACTTGAAAAATTGGTTGCATCACTTTTAATCAACGTTCTCTGTCACTAGCTGTAATATATTATCCTATATTTCTTCATCCTTTTCAGTTTCTCTTTGTATATACCCACCCCAATCAGTCTGTTCGAAATAAATTTCAATTTTAAACAAAAAGAAAAGAAGGACAAAGAACTTGGAACTACAGCATTTTTCTTCTGATGCAAGATCTCTCTCTCTCTCTCTCTCTCTCTCCCCCATCCCTCTGTCCCTCTCTCTCTCTCTCTCTCTCTCTCTCTCTCTCTTTCTTTCTCTATTGTATATTTGATAAAGATGTGGTGCAGTATGTATGCAACATCATATAGAACATATCTTTCTGGCAACACCCAATAGATATACAGTGTATCTCTGAGTTGCCTGTATGCCTTGTTATCTAGCAGCAGTAGATATGAACTTGTTGATATTCCAGACATGTACTCTGTACTTGAGTACAGGCTGACTTTCAAATCAATGGGTTTTTGTTCACCACAGGTTGTTCAACTCTCTCCCTCTCTCTCTCTCTCTCTCTCTCTCTCTCTCTCTCTCTCTCTCTCTTTATCTCATCCATCTCACATCTATCTTTTCTCACCATATTGGTCTCTTTTCTCACCATATTTCGTCCCTGTTTTCACGAAGTGACGGTAGAGCGCGCAACTAAAAGAAAGTTAGTTTTGAATAAATCGCTTTCAAAGTTTCAAACCATAATCTCAACCTCTTTAATGTATCAAAGGCAAATAAATTTTATATCCTTGGATAGAAAATATCTTAATGTTTAGTTCTATGTTTAAATATTTCCATAATTTCTTATATTTTGGGGGGAAATGAGCTGTAAACATTACCGTCACTTCGTGAAAACACGAAATTCAAGGACGCGCTGTGATTTTGTTTTCACGAAGTGACGGTACGTAGCCGCGCGCGTAAAACATATGGGATTTTTCTCTCGTGGATGGAATTCCCGAAATGGACACTAAATACGGCAAAACGTTTTGTTTAATTGATGTACAGATAAAATAATTCAAACTGTGAGAAAGAGTACATTTTCCCATTTCTGTAGCTGATTTTTCATTTCTCTGTGTGAACTGTTAACACAACCGTCATTTCGTGAAAACACAAATTGCATAGAACGCTTTGATTTTGTTTTCACGAAGTGACGGTACGTAGCCGCGCGCGTAAAACGTATGGGACTTTTCCCTTGTGGATGGAATTCTCGAAATGGACACTAAAAACGGCATTATGTTTTATTTAATTGATGTACAGATAAAATAATGCGAACTGAGAGATAGAGTACATTTTCCTCGTTTGGTAGCTATTTTTTTTTTATTGATAAGAATAAACTGAATGTCTCTGTATGAACTTTTAACTTAACCGTCATTTCGTGAAAACACAAATCACGCAGAACGCTTGTATTTTGTTTTCACGAAGTGACGGCTCGTAGCCGAGCGCGTATAAAACATATGGGATTTTTATTGTGTGAAGCAATTTCATGAGATAGACACTGAAATACGGCAAAACTACTTGTTTAATATATGTATGGATAAAATAAGAGCACCTTTTCTTCTTTGTATAATTATGATGTTGGATGTATGATGTCAGTTTTTGTTCACGAAGCTACGGCTCACAATAAATTAACTATCAATAGCACAGATGGATATTGGCACTAAGTGCTTTTAAAATGATTAATAAGCTATTCTCTTTAATCTTAGGCTAAAAATGGATATGTATTTAATATTATTTGAGGTTTAATTATCAGGTACATTGTATGTATAGGGACTAAAGATTGCACTAAAGTTATACTTTCCACCTAAGAACACGTTCAAGTAGTCCCCCCCCCCTCTCTCTCCCTCTCTCTCTCTCTCCCTCTCTCTCTCCCTCTCTCTCTCCCTCTCTCTCTCTCTCTCTCTCTTTACCCCCTCCATCTCCCCTTAATATCACACAAATTCTGCCATTTCTTGTTGAAATTCATGCGAGTGATATCAGGGCTTTTGCTACTCTATTACTATGAGGAATTTCTAAAATTTTAGAGAGGGGCCTAGCTAAATATATTTTTTCAGATAGGAAATAAAGCAAATATGTTAAGAAATATTTTTGAATGAAGGAAAAAGATTAAGTATTGATAATTGACCATAATCTGTAGTTAACTACTCAACTCTGCAATATAAACACAGAAAATGAATTTTGACTGAGCAGTTTTAATTCAAACATTTGGAACCAGAACAGCAAGTGGAAAATGGAGCATAAATTCAAAAATATTATATAATTCATACCAAACATATCATCATCAATTATCATCAATACTGTGTTGCATTTTAAAATGTACATTTAGGGTTTTGTGGAAAAGACTCATCAGTTATATACATCCACGGAATACGAAGGTTATTTCATTCATTATACAGTACTTGTAAATATGCTAAAATGTCTTTATCTAATTCTTTATTTACGACTTGGTTATCATGTTTATTCAGCAATCGTAGCGAGTAAATGCCACATGTGACATACAAAATGCTCGACAAACATGTACTACATGTACATGTATCATGAAGTTTTTCAATGGGAAAAATGACTAATATAATCATCATCGTTACTTTTTTGTTCATCACTGTTTTTCATAAATATCTTGTGAGTAGAGTATCAGAACCAAGTCAGTTTACACAATCTCTTTCTAAGGTATTTCAATGAAATTTAGTACACAGTCTCAAACGCTACAAAGTTTACCAATGCTTAAAGGTTGTCTTCACCCAGGTAAACACGTAATCTCTGACTAAACTATTATCAGCTAAACAATGCATGATAAACATGGAAATATCAATTTGACTAAACAATTTCATTTCTCATCAAACAGATACAATTCAAAACAGCAACATTATATTGTATGATCATTATAGGATAGTTTGAAGTACCAAATACAATTATGATGAGAATGACTATAGAAGTAATAAATTAAAACATTAAATGTGAACTAGTAACATTGTGTTTTGAGAGAAAAACCAATTGTTGAAATGTAACTTATATTCATGTTCTAATGAAGGCATCAACCCCTGTGAATACAAACATTTAAAGAAAATGGATAAACAAATTCTTCAATACAAAGATACAATATGAGGATTCATGGAACTGGAATCGAAAACTCTAATATGCATTACTGATCGAGGTAGGTATACCTGATAAATAGCAGTTCTGAGCTATACATTTGAATATTAAAGATTTATGTTTGCAGGAGTTCATTACAATACTGTAACAGAAAACTGACACCTGTACGACCATTCAGTTAATTGTTTCAGAACTCATGGAAAATGTTACCAGTTTGCTTTAAATCAATTCATTGATTTTATAATCAATCCATTTCATTGTAATTACTAGTACACACAATTACAATTATGAGTGGAGTTTGCTTCATTTATGATATTCAAAATGTTTAAAATCAAACAGTATAAAAGAGAGATTGAGGTATTGAAACATTGAAGCATTGCCAAAACTATCAATGTAATTGGTTCTAGTTTCTCAAGCATGCCCTTCAACACAAGTCCTTCAAGTTTCTTCACACATAATGTCATCCAAGCGATAGTGGTTGAAGCAGAGAAGATCCTTGATCTAGACTGCTTGAAAGTAAAAGGAAATAAGAGAAAGAAAAATCATAATAAAAAAAGTCCAAGTCAAAATCAATAAAAAATCATTATCAGAATTTCAATTATGAAAGGGAAACTTTACAGTGCATTATGATTGGGCAAAATTATTATGTGTAGTTTTGGTACCCAATTTTAGAGAGTCTCTTAATAACTTAAATACTTTATGTGGTATCACCTTAGTATTGGAATTTTTTTATAAGGATTTAAAAAAAAATAATGCTGACCTCGATAGGACCACTCATTCCCTTAACTAAGAGACCTAAGCATTAAAAACAATTAAGAATATCTTAAATTTTAACTATTGGGAAAAAATCAAGAAGGAAAAAAGATACCTTTTGACTCGCTCACAAGCATAGACAATGGGTCATCATCAGAATCGCAATCGGAGCCGTCAGGAGACTTTAAGGGTCACCATGCCAAGTCACACATGCAGCTCTGACTGTGTTCGGTGAATTGCTTCAACGGTTCCATACCGCTCCCACTCTTAGGTCACTATGCCGAGTCACATCTGCAGCTCTGTGTTCAGTGAATTATCAAGGACCCATCTTACCAGCATGTCGGTCCCTGTATCCAATCTAATTTTGTAGAATGAAAGAAATAATTACAAGTTATTTTCTTTCATTTTTTTGCAAGCAGAGGTAAGGAAATGAATCCAATATTATCTTTTGTACATCAAATTAATTAATAGGCATAACTGACCCCAAACAGAAGTTTTCAATTGCCCCCATTACCCCAAAATAGAATTTTCCAATTGCCCCTACCAAACAACAACTACCCCTATGCACATAAGCAGTGAGTGTGCTTTCGTACTTTGCTGCTAAAGTGTGATTTTCTTGAACAGATCATGAAACTATTCTCACCTGGATTTGTGTCTGGCCTGTGGCATTCTTGAAAAGTAGATGTACTTTCCCAGTGCTTCCTTCATATAAGAGCAAATTGTATCTACTGCATCTGAAACTAAGTGAAAGCAAAAACATCATCATAATTTCATTACCACTGAAGTGTAGGTAGTGAGACATGTACATCATCTGGTATGGTGCTTGCTTGGAAAATTCTTTAAAACACGAAGTGGAGTTGGGCAACATTTGCTGGTATCAAGAACAATTGTTTAAAATAATTTTCGTATAGGGTGAGGGACCAAGGGTACTAAAGTAAAGTGCTGCCTTTGAATATAACAGACACAGAGTACAGATAACGAGAGAAACTAAGCTAACCATGTGGACATTGTTCCCCAAAAGGTAGACTACTCATGATTACTTCAGTCTCAAAAAAAAAGTATTCCTTTTTCGGATGGTGCCATTTATTCATTTTCAGGGCAGGACCGTATCTAATTTTCAATTTTTAATTAAATGTTCATCCATGTCCTTCTTTGCTTGAAAGGCAAATCATTGAATTCCCTAACACTAACAGTTAACCAGGAGGGGCTACATCCCAGGTCATCTCAGCTCAGCATGATGATAATTTTCATAACTCCCTTTGCCCTTGGCCATGTTGATGTTGGCCTTGGGCTTGGAGCCCTGAAATTTCTTAAACCCCAGGCACGCGCGCCTTACAAGAAAGGTCTCAGTCTTGTCGAGATCCTGATCTACTCACCTCTAGATTCTAGATTGATGAGTAGTGGCTGACATAAACTGATAATTATAAAATGATGATCTAGAGTAACTAGATTTCTAGGCTCTAAATCAAATCTATAATTAGCTAAATAGTAAATTACTGAAAAAATAAAAGTAAAACTCTAGTCTCTAGAGTCTAGATGATCTACTCTCTAACTTTCTGTAAAACTTTGTTCAAATTTATAACTTAAGCAGATATAAAAAGAACCTTATAGCATTAATATTTGGTGTGGAGCAAAATAAGAAAGACTCTCCACTTAAGTTATTTAGTCTAGATGCATATTTGTTAAGTCTAATTTGATCTTTTTAGTTTTGGATCACATGATACTTCACTCCTTTATTCACTTACATGAAAATAAGTATATGGGGCGAAATGTGGAACGGCGGTGTATTTTTCACACATTTCTGTGCTCATGGACATATTTATGGCTTACAAAGAATCAGAATGAATCAAAAGAGCGTACCACATTAATTTACCCTAAAAAAATGTTTAAAAACTCACCTTTTCATGGTCTGTGACTGTTCCAAACTGCGAAATTTTCACTACCGTCACTTCGTGAAAATATTAAAAGCAGGAAAAGAGCAAACGATGTTTTCACGAATTGACGGCTGTTAAGCGCGTACTTGGCCGTCACTTCGTGAAAACAGAAAATCCTTTTGCTATGCATTTTCTTGTTTACGTCATCGTCATAGCGACATAATTAGACATTATTATGATCTGAAATTTTGTGAGGTTCAAGATGTTAGTGAATGATGTCCAAAAATGCAAAAAAATAAAAAGTGAAAATGTATGCGATTTTCCTCACTACCGTCACTTCGTGAAAACAGGGACGATTTGTCTCTTTTCTCACCATTTTTTTGGGTAAATAGTCTTCTCTTTATTCTCTCTCTGATTCCATCTCTCTTTCTCTCCTTTCTTTTTCCCTTTTCACCTTTCTCTTTTCCCTCCTTCCGTTTCTCCTTCTTTCTTTTCTCCAGATTATTTCCCCTCTCTGTCGTTTCTTCCTTCTCCATTCACCTTTGACCTACTTGTCCCACCATTTCTCTCTGTTGTTTATTTGATGTATAGACCTGTGAACATTGCTTGTCTGAAATCCTCTTGATTTCCTTGTTGGCATCCTTGCTTTCATCCTTGCTTTCATCCTTCAGTTTCTTTTTCAGTTTCTTAAATTCTGTATACAACTACCAGTATTTCTTCCTCGAGCTTGTTCCTCGCTATGTTTCTCTATTTTGTCCTTTACCTTTAAATTCACCTTCCTTTGAACTAAGTGTCTCAATTCTCTGTCATATTTCCCAATCAATTTCCTCTACGTATTCTGTTGCTCTTTCACATGTATCGTGACCTCCACTCAACAAACCTTCTGATTACTGAGCCCACCTGCACAGTTAATTGGTTGACTATTTCTGGAAAATCACTCCCACAGAAATAATTTATTGCTTGCGTCTTCTTTTCGAAGTTGTGTGCTAAGGGAGAGTTTGCTACATGTATGTATAGTTGACAGTTTTCAAGGTGGATGCAACAGTTGTAGTTTTTTTTCCTTTCAATTATGATAGATATAATAGTGTATAAAATATGTTTCATAGTTTGCATCCACTTTTAGAATTTTATCCTCAACAGTCGAATTGATTTCTTAATGCCCTGAGTAACTTGTTTAATACATGTAGCTATTGCTTTTTTAAACCCATCTTGTTTCGTTTGCCCCATTTTGATCTTTGAACAATGTGTGATGCTCCACTTTAAAAACCAAGTCCAAGGACACACTTGCGCTTTCACACAGCACCTAGCATCATAATGCATCCCTGACCGGCCTGCAGCTTCAGCTTCAGCCCAGTTTGATAAGCGCCCTTCTCCTGTATGCATGCATAACACAGTCTAATGCACTTCATCAATTCCGGTAGGGGGTGTGACACTCGGCTCTCGAGGAGCCCGTCGCCGCGACCCGAATGCATAATCGCGGAAAAGGCGCAGTTTTCTCTTTTCAAGGAAAAAAAAAATGTCCCTCAACCTTCTTTTGCCCCTCTCCCTATCCTAGTTCCTATTGTTTTTGGGCAAGTCCAACCAATGCATATGAACATGTTTATTTGTTGTCCCATACATTATCAAAAAATTAGGAAAATTAACATATTTTTAAATTGCAGGTATCATTTGTTTATCAAAGCTCTAGTAGGGTAGTCAACTTGAGGGAATTATTAGGTATTCTAGAAAATATGTTGGTAACATATGGGAAAATTACTAATTCATACACAGAAAATAATTAAATCTTTGTTGCCAATTTGAGATTTCAATGATTATTTTTGATTAAATCATTCCTGTTCATGAACGAACGGCACAATGTACTGCAACAGAATTAGACTCAAATTGTACAGCAATTTCTGCACCTTCTGCTCCTGTACAATAGCATTCAGGATCTAAAGATAAAAAATAAAACAGCACTATTCTGCTCTGGGTTAAAACAAGGAGTGTCTTTTTACCCCTGGAGTATTAGACCATTCCATGCATGCCCACTGAAATTTCAACACCTTTTTGTTTAGTGAAAGCCTAAAAGATTTTAAGTGTATGTAAAAGTATACAAGCTAATGCCCTTTTGGTATGATTTTTTCTCAGAGGAACAAACACTGAATCCAAAAGCAGATCTGAGAAGGTTTCTAAAGGTCATGATATACATGTACATGGAAATCTAAGCTGTTTTTATGTAGAATCTAGAAACAGTCATCCAACCCTTTCTGGCTTCATCAGCTCGAGTTTGGGGCAGGTTCAGGTGTTTTGCTGCAAGAGGGAGAGTAAGGAATTCTGAAAAAGATCTAGGTGACAGAAGAAAGGTCATTGGTTATCAAAAGGTTTTTTTGATGGAAAGTTAGAAAAGAGATGCTTTGAAAGAGTTGCATAGACAGGTTGTACCAACTCATTTCTTTTTTGATATTGGTTATTTAGCCTGCGCTGGAGCTAGTATCCTGTTTCACCCTTTTGTTTACATGGTGGTATTTTAGTCCGAGAGCATGAGAAATTCATAAGTGTTAAACTGTGCGTAGCTGTTGATAGCTAATAGGCAAGCTTCTCGTATGTCAGGGGGTGCGAGTGTTATTACGTTGAAGCCTTGCACGCAGGCTTTGTAGCCTGTTCACACTTGGGCAAATTTAAACAAAAGTCGTAGAAAGAAACGTGTAAAGAATCATTGTGTAGTAGTGAAAGTGGCACAGGCTTTTTAAAGAAAAAAGTATGATAGAAAGAAACATCTAACTAACTTTGAAGAGGTGGGTTGATATGACCAGGGCATGGCCATGATAAGCCTTCACCCAGTTGTATGGTTTTAGTTGAATAATAGTTAATACATTCATTTAAGAAGTGGATCCTGATTCTTTATAGAGTTTTTGTTCAAAGCGTGGCTGAGGCCAATGTTTTGCTATAAAGCATTTCTTAATACAATTTTTCAGACTTTAAAAAAAATGTACTTAACAAAGCTATACAATTTTTAGTTAAATTTATATATTAATTTCTTGTAGTGATAGTAAACTGGGTTTAAAGTATCTTCCTTTGAAATAAAATTAACATTGAATTTACCCGTTTTGAAGAAAAAGATGAGTCCAAAACTTGGAAGTATCATGGCGGCGAAAAATATTAATTTATGAGAAATTTGGATTTTTTTTTTTAAAACTGGATATTTGTAATTGGGATTTCTTCAAATCATAGCTGCAATTTTCCCCCGACTTCCTGAAAATTCTAATCCTTTCCCCCTATGCATACAGTGATTGTATAATAGATCTTAAAGACAATTGAATGACAATAGAAAATGTATTCACCTAAGCATGTACATGTAGGTCGTTAAAAGTGTTTGCTTACAAATAGTGAGAAGCACATAATTATCAGTTTTTCTCTTCAGCACTATTCAGATACAGTCATTTTGATTACTCAAACAACAACTGCCTTTAAACAACCTTTGCATATATGACGTCCAAATGAGCCAACAGAGAAAAAATCAATTCGGCAAAGCGAGGAATTATGAAGTGTCTTAAGGCTTGGAAGGTAAAGAGATAGCATGAGAGAGAGAGAGGAGAGAGAGAGAAAGAAAAAAAATCTGGGTTTAGGATCAATAATTTCTTCCTCCCCCTACGGTAGGATAACATTAATTTGGTTGAGAGAAGGCGAGTTGTGTAACGTTGCAGTCATTCATGCTTCTCCCTATAGATACAATATTTCCTTAACCGAAAATAGCTGCCTTCAGAATGTAATATGAATTTAGTTTGCCAGCAAATTGTAGAGATTGGCTCATTTTCTTATGAAATTAGTTATTATCTGAAGAGAAATTGATGTTAACTGAAACTATTTATGTTTGTGTACTGGTATATGTTTATATTACTTGTATAAGATTATTCCTCCTTCAACCCTTATGGGTGGTTTAAACATGGTTATTTCTATTTTTGTTTTCAGTACTTTCTTATGTGCTTTTTGGTACTTAGAGATATTTAAAGAAAAAGCTAGTTCTTGTTTATTAAAGGTAAAGACCAGTTATGGTCATGCGATTGCATTGTGAAAGAAACATTGTGGAATCGATAAAAGGTTGATCATCTAGCATATAAATATTGGTGTGTACTGCAAGGTTCTGGAATCATCAAAATGATAAGAAATTTGGCCCAGTCTTCATAAAGTTACAAGCACTGTACACAGAAAGATGTATATGGGACTATACGCACACGTGTGCAACACGTGCGTTTATCTCTCACAGACCATGTAGATAAACTAATTTACCAAATATATCAATTAGTAGGCGGTTTCCCGACAAAAATTTTATCATCATGTATTAGTCAAAACATATTCTTTCACATGATTGGTAATAAGAGCTTCCATTTAATTTTTTGAAATTGGGGCGTTTCCAATACTGGTCTTTACCTTTAAATTCAAGATTTGAATAATCAAGTATGAAAGGGGATGCCTCAGGTGACTTGATTGATGGAAGTTTGATACTTTCTGAAAGTACAAAGAAACCTTTCAGAGTTTAAAGAGCAAAATATGATTTTCATTTTCATTAAGATATTTATAATTCTACTACAGTATGTATAATCCTTAAATGGTAAATACCATCAGGACTAACAGAGTAATTTCAAAAGAAATTTCCTAGCATTGTTGGCGCCAATATAATCTTTCCTCCCAGTCCTGCCAATTATGGGACCGATTTTCAACATTCGTTTAATAAATTGATTAGTCCTTTAACATATTATGCGTGTCAAAGATTGCCCTTGATTTAACCAGGTGGTGTCATTGCTGTACTTGAATAATACTTGTTGATTTTAACCCATTGGAGCCCATCTGCGTGTGTATGATATATTGCCTTTGGTAACAGGAGTTGCCCTGTAGGCAAAGAGTTAATTGACAATAATACTACCATCATGTGTGTATTAAGTTTCGCTGACTATTGTTTGCTTGCTGTCGATCATTTGATGCTCAATATTCAATAACCCACAGTATGGTTTGAGTACATGTTAGACATGTCATGTCGCCCACTTTATCTACATAGATATACAGGCAGAAGTGGACATGTGGGTTTCATCAACTTTCACTCTGTCCCTTAACTTGCCATTTTTATTTATGTCATTTACAACGACCTTCAAATTGGCATTCACAATGTCATTCACATTGGCATTCACAATGGCATTCACATTGGCATTCACAATGGCATTCACAATGGCATTCACATTGTCATTCACATTGTAATTCATGTTGATATTCACATTGCCATTTACAATGTCA